GGATGAAAGTTTCTACTGCTCCTTGCTGTCTCTACCACTGATATTGTCAGACTATAATTTTTGTCTGTCCCATGATTGTGTAATGGTTTCTTCTTGTGGTTTTGGTGTGTGTGTATGTGTGTGTGTGTTTGTAACTTTTTCCCCATTTCTCTACTAATAAATATGATCATCTTTTCATATGTTTATTAGCCATTCAGTTTTTCTCTTTGAGTTAGTGCTTCAAGAAGTTTAAGCCTTTTGCGTCTACTGAGTTGTGTTACACTTATTTATTCATAGAAATACTGTAAGAATTAGATAAATTCCTAAAAATATGTAACCTGTCAAGACTGAATCATTTTTAAATGAAAATCTGAACAGAATGATCACTAGCTGGGGCACCTGAGTGACTCAGTCATTAAGCGTCTGCCTTCAGCTTGGGTCTTGATCCCAGGGTCCTGGGATCAAGCCCCGCATCGGGCTCCCTGCTCCACGGGAAGCCTGCTTCTCCCTCTCCCACTCCCTCTGCTTGTGTTCCCTCTCTCGCTGTGTGTCTCTCTGTCAGATAAATAAATAAAATCTTAAAAAAAAACACGAATGATCACTAGCAAGGATATTAAATCAGTAATCAAAAGCCTCCCAACAACAACAAAAAAGCCCAGGACCAGATGGCTTCCCTGGTAAATTCTACCAAACATTCCAAGAAGAATCAATACTAATACTTCCCAAAATCTTCCAAAAAATAAAAGAGGAGGAACTCTTCCAAACACATTTTGAGGCCAGCATTACCCCTACACCAAATCAGACAAGGATTTGGTATAGGGGTAAGAAAATTACAGGCCAAATATCCATAATGAACATACATGCAAAAATTCTCAGCAAAGTATTAGCAAACCAAATTCAGTAATTAAAAGGATCATTCACCATGATCAGTGGGATTCATGCCACTGTTTGCAGATGGCATGATAATGTATCTGTAAGACCCTAAAAACTCTATTTAAAAAAACTGTTAGAACTAATAAAAATTGCAATACAAAATCAATATGCAAAAATCTGTTACATTGCTTTATGTTAATAATGAACTATCAGAAAGAGAAATTAAGAAAACAATCCTATTTACAATTGCATCAAAAAGAATAAAATACTTAGGAATAAATTTGACCAAGGATGTGGAAGACCTGCATATTGCAAACTACAAGATATCAGTGACAGGCTCCATGCTCAGTGGGGAGTCTGCTTGAGATTCTCTCCCTCTCCTTCTGTCCCTCCCTCTGATCACACATTCTTTCTCTAAAGTGAATCTTTTAAAAGATTTTATTTATTTTTTTGTCAGAGAGAAAGAGAGAGAGAGATAGCACAAACAGGGAGAGTGGCAGGCAGAGGGAGAAGCAGACTCCCCGCTGAGCAAGGACTCTATCCCAGGACCCAAGGATCATGACCCGAGCTGAAGGCAGATGCTTAACAGACTGAGTCGCCCAGGAGTCCCTAAAATAAATAAATCTTTTTAAAAATGCTCAACATCACTAATCATCAGGGAAATGCAAATCAAAACCACAATGAGATATCAACTCACACCTGTTAGAATGACTATTACCAAAAAGACAAGCAATAACAAATGTTGGTGAGTACATGGAGAAAAGGGAATCCTGTGCACTACTGGTGGGAATGTAAATTGGTGCAACCAATACAGAAAAAAGTATTGTGTTCCTTAAGAAATGAAAAATAGAACTACCATATGATCCAGCAATTCCACTTCTGGGTATTTGATGATAACAGAAACGCTAATCTGAAAATTTTTATATACCATGCTCACTGTAGTATTGTTTATAATAGAAACAACCTAAGTTCCCATCAATAGATGAGTGGGTAAGGAAAATTTGGTGTATATATACAAAGGAATATTGTTTGGCCCTAAAAGAGAATGAAAATTGCCATTTGCAATAACATGGATGGACCTTGAGGGCATTATGCTAAGTGAAATAAGTCAGACAGAGGAAGACAAATACCATATGATTTCTCTTATATGTAGAATCTAAACAAACAAAAACCAAGCTTCCAGATACAGAGAACAGACTGGTGGTTGCAAGAGCCAGGGGATGGAGTGTGGGAGAAATGCGTGAACTGTTTTAGGTTTTTTTATGTTTAAATAAATTGAATTTAAAAATTTTTATGTTACACTGTATGTTAACTGACTTGAATTTAAAAACTCTAAAAAAGAGTTTATTAGAAGAAGGGAGGGAAAACTGAAGGGGAAGAAATCAGTGAGGGAGACAAACCATGAGAGACTTTGGACTCTGGGAAACAAACTGAGGGTTTCAGAAGGGAGGAGGTTGGAGGGATGGGGTAGCTGGGTGATGGGTATTAAGGAGGGCACATGTTGTGAGGAGCACTGGGCGTTATATGCAACTAATGAATCGTTGAACACTACATCAAAAACTAATGATGTACTATATGTTGGCTAACTGAATATAATAAGTAAATACATAAAATCTTTAAAAAATTTATTATGAATAAAAAAATTTTTAAGGAATTCTTTATATAATTTGGGAACTTCTCCTTTTCAGTTATATGTGTTGCAAATGTCTTCTTCCTGTTTTGAATGGTATTTTGGTATCTCTTCACAAGTAAATGTTCTTAATCCTGATATTAATTTAGTTAATAATTTTCCTTTTTGCCTTCACATTTTCCTGCCTTGTTTAAGACCTTACCTAACATTTAGTCACAAATATATTCTTTATGATCTTTAATTTTTTCCCCTTTCCCTTTCATATTTAGAAGCTTAATGCACCTAGAATTGATAGTGTCTAGAAAGGCAGATGTCTGGTTTCATTTTCTTTTAATACAGAAAATCGACTGAACCAGCACCATTTATTAAAAAGTCCATTTTCTCCCTGGATACCTAATTCCACCAGTTATATATATTATATTAAGGGTTCACATATGTAAGAATCTGTTTCTGTCTCTCTATTCTGTTCTACTGTTCCGTTTGTCTATTCTTGTATGAATATGACACTAATTTAATATCTCTACCTTTATTATAAGTCTTTTTCTGGTAAGGCAAATACCCCTACCCTGGTGTTGATCTTTGCATTTCCATATAAAGTTTAGAATTGGATTGTTAATATTCACAGGGAAAAAAAAACCCAGAAACATAAGAAACAAAACAGAAAATTCAATTGGGATTTTGATTAGAAGTGCATTAAATCTAGATCAGTTTGGGTACAATTGACATCTTTATAGTACTGAGTCTTCTAATCCATAAACATGCTATTTCTTTTACCTAGGTTTGATTTCAGTAGAGTTTTATAATTTTCTCCACAGAAGTTTTACAAAATTGTTTTTTAATTTAATGAGCAGAGGAATAAGACAATCTCAGTTAACATTTTAAAGGGATGACTCTGGCAGCTACGGAGGGCTTGCGGGGAAAGGAGCAGGTCAGGAAGCTGTGAGGTGGTGCTGGTGACAGATGGTGGCATGGCGGCCTGGAAAGGAGAGGAGGGGGGGCAAAAGGAGGCAGCTACATGGCTGCAGTGCTATGTACTGGACAGTACTGGGTTTTAGGCTGCAGT